AGTTTTATTCATCATAAAATTCATACAACTCCTCATCACTGTCAAAACTCCCAACCATTAGCTTGTCCTCATCTGTGTCTGATGACGAATCACTGTCTTCATATANTGCCTCGTCCTCAGTTCCATCTATGGCATTTGAAATCTACAACCACTGTACAAGATGCACCCAGTTTTTAGACCCCAAATTTGTCGAAAAAGGGTGCGTCTTTTACATGGGGAAGTACGGTATGTGGGTAGAGACAGACAGTAACTTTTTGGCATTGTCAGAGAAGTGTCGGAATTCATAAAATATTTAGGGACATTCTTAACTTGGAGATATTCAGGAATATTACTTGATTCATAGGGGACCCACTCTCCCCTTGAGAAAGAACTTGAACACTATATATAACCAGGATTCAGATATATAGAAACAAATTGATAGCCTGATGGACCTGGAGGTAAGGATGGACATGAGGTCTTCCTGATGGAGAGTTACCCTGAATTAGAAAGGAGTCTGGCAGCCTAGGCCAGAATGAACAGATGGGTATCTACGTCAGAGGTGATAGAAGTTCTAGGTAGAGAATAAAGCTGTACTTTAAAACTTTCAAACTCAAAAGGGCAACAATGCCTATAGGCTTTGAGAAGAAAAATGTTGAGATAAAAATAAAAGGCTATGTAACTGGGGGCACAGGTCTACTGTAACTAAACCCCACCCCACCCCTTACAGACCTGAAGGTACATTTTTGGAATCACTTCCTTATTTCCATAATAGAAAAAGAAAATCACCAGAAACATGTAGATCAGCAGCAGCATAGATATGGAACAGGGAACTATACCAGTTTATGAACGGCAAGAACTTGAAAACAAAGTGGCTGCAGAACAGCAGGTGGAAACTCTGATCATATGTGAGCCACATCCCTCATGTCAGGACTCCTTATTGGAAAGAGCCTATATCTAGGGACTGTAACAACAGTAAGGTCAGGGTACGTAGAATATATCTGAAACTATCTCTGAAAAATGCTAAGTCTGAAATATGGGGGTGCCAAAAAATGTATACAAGTAGTCACTTTGGTCAACATAGCAGTAGTTTGCCATAATCAGAAGTGTCTGGACGCTGATGGTAACCACTTTGAGCCCCTCTTGTAATTGCAGAAGTCAAATGTGACTTGAATTTGTCTTTTGTTACCAGTATATATTATTACAATGTTAATAGTTTTTTCCTTTCTTAAAATGTATATGCATTTTTTGGCACCCTCTGTATATATCTTCATTTTATGTAAGATATACATCTTATTTTCAGTCCAAGACTAGCCTGATATAAAACAAAGGATAAATAAACAAGTTCTCTAAAGATACCTTCCAAAGCCTCCATATTCAAACCTCAACTCAGTCAGCCGTGAGTGACAGCAGAAAAAGAAAACTTGCTAAGGAAACCCCCTTTGCCTGGCATTTTAAAGCCGCTCCTTTTTTCACTTGCTTTTATTTTATGCTACTTTACCAGATATAGTGATCAGCATGAGAGCTCTTCCAAAGTCCATTGATTTAAGCATCCTTCAGAGGTAGTTTCAGATATATT